AAGAGATTTCTCTAACTAACATGCCAGATAAACAAACAATACAAAAACCTGGAACACGGACATCATATCATTGACCAAAATGTTCTATAGTGTAGCTCGGAAGGCTCAAAACTAGTTCAGGGTCATAAGTATCCAGGTTGCATTGCCCTCTCAAAATACTTGTTAAGGTAACTGCGGCCACTCTCGACCCCTATAAAAGTCTACCATCATATGCCTCCTGAAGCACACAAGTTCTGCTAGTTAGTTTGACGTTTGCAAGGTCGCCTAGCCTTGCGAGCAACATTGAGCATCACTGACTGGGCAGCTCATGTGGAGGCTGAAGATCGGCGAGGGCGGCGGGCCATGGCTGCGGTCGGCGAATAAATTCATCGGCAGGCAGGTATGGGAGTTTGACCCCGACGCTGGGAGCCAGGATGAGCTCGCTGAGATTGAGAGACTGAGGAAGGAGTTCACAGAGAACCGTTACCAGAAGAAGGTGGCGCAGGATCTCCTTTTGCGCATGCAGGTAATAACAAGCATAATAGAATTTGAAATTTATGTATTTTTCATTCACATGTTTTACAAGAACATAATACCTGGTCAAACCAGTACCCTTTGCAGTTATGACAATGACAGGAAACACTGGAAATAATTCCACTGAAATATTCCACCATATATACACTTGTTTTAGGTGTGTTGCCCAGGATAAACAAGGCCTTGTATGGATGCACATTTTTGGAATATTGAAAAATACTGCAGTTCTGACTTATATTTATCCAAAGCTGAACCCATAGAGATATTGTTGGCACTTGGCAGAACTCTAAGAGTAGCAATAACATAATGGTCAAAGTGGCATATCAGTAGCTAAAACTTAAGAACATGTCTACAATATTCTGTCTGCACTATTATGACGTGCACTAATTTAAAAGAGGCATGACATGTACCATTAAATTCTCACGGTATATAATTGTATATATGTAATGCAGTATGCAAAACAAAACAATGTTCAAGTGGATGTTCCGGTCATCAAACTTGCACATAGTGCCGAAGTAACGGAAGAGACTATATTAGCATCAATGAGGCGAGCCCTTGCCCAATATTCTACTCTACAAGCACATGATGGTCACTGGCCTTGTGATTATAGTGGTGTCATGTTCGTTATGCCTATTCTGGTACGTGTTTTCTTTTAATTTGCAACAACTATGTATATTTGAATCATATTGAGGATGCACAACTACATAAGCATCATCGCCCCAGGTTGGGGATCTCCAATCACAGTCGGTCTTGCAAACCGGTGGTAAAATGAAGATTATCACCGTCAATTTGCAACTGACCGTGATAATCAAATAAAAAAATTAAAAAAAAACATGTGCCTCGGCAAGTGTTGTTGTCACCTGCAGCTACACCTCGCGCCGAGCTCACGCCCACACCACCGCCACCCAGCTCGCCACTAGTGCCACTCGTCATCGTCCGATTTGGGCACCGGCCTGCCCGCGCTTGCCGCTATAGCACCTGGCACTGTCGGGGGGCGCTGCGCCGGAAGGCTGCCTGCTCTGGGAATCGTGGGTAGGTAGTGAGAGGGAGAGAGATAGAGGGGAATAGAAAACACACGGAGGATAGCACCTCTCTGCATGCGACAATTCATGGGGCGACATGCAGGTACACGCGCCTGCTTGTCAACCAATCCCAAGAAAGCACACATGGGTGAGAGAGATGTAGCACGCGCAGGCTGGTCTGGGTGGTTTTTCACCATGGGCTCTTCTCCCGAACTAGTGGAGAAATTGATCTTGTCCGTATAGATGGCCATCAGGCCGGCCCGGCCCAGCACGGCATGGGCCTGTGACAGGCACGGCCCGATGGGGGTCGGGCTGGCACGGCACGTCGTGCCTCTCGGAACGTGTCGAACTGGGCTTCGTGCATTACTAACGGCCCAAGCATAGCCTGTCGGTTTGTTTTTGAGGCCAGGCGGCCCGAGAACCATGGCCCATCCATCGTGCCGTGCCCGCCCAAGGCCCACGAGGGAGCGACGCCGTCACCTATCGGAGGAAGCTGAGGTTGCGGCCGTAGCACTGTGACGGAGTCGGAGATGGAGCCTCCGCGCGGTGCCTCCAGGCACGGCCTCCACGCGCTTGACAAGGCAGGAGCCAGGAGGGGAGCCGCCGACGCACTTTGCTCCCACGCGCTCGCCTCGGGGTCATCGGATCCACACGAACGGAGGCACTCGCTGTCGAATCTGCATGGTCGGCGGGCTGATGGAGTGGAGGAGGGAGTTCACAGCGACAGATGGGAAGGGGAGCAAGCGCTAGGCGCCCGAGTGTAGCGGTCGGGAAGGGGGTGAGCGCTTGGCGCCCGAGCGAGGCGTGGCGAGCCTGCGCGCTGATGCTGTGATCTGCGAAAAGGGGGGGGGGGGTGCGCAAGGGCGGGCCTTAGGTTTAGGAGGGGGTTGCTTGCTAGGCTGGGCTGACTAGCTGAGGGCGTGGGGAATTTTAGCAGGCCGCACTAGTCATCGGGCCGCCACCGGGCCGGCCACTAAAAGTCGGGCCGTGCCGTGCCGCTCGGTGTGCCTGTGGTGCAGCCCAGGCACGGCCCTGTACACCGTGCCGGGCCGGCCCGGGTCCTTGCAATACCGGGCCAGGCCATGCTTGGGTCCGGCCAAGAAACCGTGCTTCGAGCCGGGCCACCGGGCTGCGGGCTGCGGGCTGCATGGACATCTATACTTGTCTAGCAGTTTTATTCCGAGCCGAAGTGATATATTGGTGATTTTAATAAAACTGGCAGCGTAAATATCATTGGCAAAAACCATTTTGGTACAAAGTTCTATTTTCATGTGGTTAGTGAATAAGTTAGTTTTCCATATATAATCATTAGTAATTAAATATCATTGGTGATTTTTTTTTAAATTACACAGTGCAATGTAGACGCTCACAACACGCACGCGCACTCACCCATATGAACACACGTACGCAAACCCTACCCCTATGAGCATCTCTGAAGGACTGAGCCGACAAATCTTGAGATTCACGAAGTCACCACAGGCACCTCGCTGTCGACAGAGACGTCGCCTACCACTAAAAGCATAGTGCCATTAAATCCTAGAATAAATCTAGGAAAATACGAGCACCCGTGCCAAGTCGAGGACTTGAACCCGGGTGGGCAGGTTCCCCACAGGGAACCCAACCAACTGATCGTTTGCAAATATCATTGGTGATTAAATAAATGATCTTAAGTCATTTCGTTTGTAAAAGTTGGCTATGCACGTCTTTTGTTCTCACTCTCTTTTAGCTTTATATAACTCATATAGGTACCTTTTAAAAAGAAAAAAATACGTAAGTTATGAAAGTTCTGTATTTTCTGCAGGTATTTGCACTATATGTCACTGGATCACTCAATACTGTTTTATCAACAGAACATCGATATGAGATCTGTCGCTATATTTACAACCATCAGGCATGACAACTAAAGCTTAGTTACTTTGTAGTTAACGTATTTGGTTGAACAAGCAGTATTTTTTTCTACAGGTAAACACAATTAATAAAAGTTTTTTCTGTAATATATTCCATGTAGAATGAAGATGGTGGTTGGGGCATGCAAGAGTTAGGACCAAGCACCATGTTTAGCTCATGCTTAAACTATGTTACCTTAAGACTTCTCGGGGAGGTGTGTACGCACGACGCTTTAACCAAAGGACAAGCATGGATTTTGTCTCATGGAAGTGCAGCAGCAATACCTCAATGGGGAAAGATTTGGCTCTCGGTATGGCATTGAAATAATTAATAAATAAATAGAACTTTATTCTTTTATATGTGTTTGTGTTTGTGCAATCAACTAGGTTGAGTCCCATGTCTAAAATTTATAGTTTCCCTTATGTATTACCATGTATGATTGTTTATAGAGTGTTTCTATTTTTAATAATCTTTTGCGCTACTAGTGGCCCCACTGGAACAACTGCACTGTACGTACCATACCTTTAAATCATACAAAATGGGACGTTGGATTAGGATTAGATGAATATTTAACCTGTGGCACCTGCAAGAGGTGGGGCAGGTAGAGGAAACATGCTAATTAGTGGGGTTGGTAGTTGATGAGCGCGTAAGTCCCAACGAGGAGGACAAACAGAGGGAGGGAAACCTGCTATGATTGTTGATCGTTAATATTCTATTTTAGTGACCGTTATCCGACGCTAATTGTTGGCTGTGGTATAGTGGTATTAGTTTAATGTAAACCTTCTATTTGAACTATCTTGAAGTAGGAAAAGAATAAAGTTAAAGTATAATGCGAAGTTAAGTAAAGCTGAAGCATTGTTTAAATTTGTTTTATGGTTGACCTTAAAAATGAAGGGTTTACAAAACACAGTTATCACAGATGTATTATACATGAATTGCATAAGGTTATATGCACAACCTTATAGTACAAATTCTTGGGAACTCAGGGTCGAGTAGTCCGCTAATAAACCAAAGGGATGTAATAGGGGATCGTATAGATGGGTTATAGTGAAGAATTTAGCAAGGCTGTGGCATTTAGAAAGATTCCTACTCAGTAATTGAATGTCAGTGCTCTTTCATTTTTCTTATTTTTTTATGAAAACTAATTAGATTTCAGATGGATATCAATTGAAAATGGTGGATTGCACCATGGTGCTCAAATGTAGTGTTAATACTTAGTTATTATATTATTATAGATAGTTGAGAAATCCATTGCTAACTCAAGTTAAAAGTGGGTTTCACATTAAAATATTACTCTGTTTCCCTTTAATAACTGTTACATATTATATATACCACAGAATCATTGATGTTCACTTTGCAATTGTGGATAGGTAGGGTCTAAACAAAAGATTAGTCATGATTGTTTCTTTGTTTCGTGGAGCATCCTTTCCTCTGTTCAATTCCTAGGGTCTAAATAATGATGGCCGAATTCCAGCTGCAGCTATTTGATTTTTTTAGATAAGGGCAGCTATTTGATTTATATAAACTAATATCTAGTGACCAAGAAGGAACTAATTATTGCCTTTTTTCCAACTGGAGGTGATCGGTTTATATGACTGGAACGGGAATAATTCGATCATTCCTGAGTTGTGGCTTGTTCCATATTCTCTTCCATTTCATCCAGGTATATGTTTGTTTCTTAATTAGAACAATTATAACTTAACTTTACCATAGACAGGTAAGGTCACTCCCTACATCAAGTATCAACTTTTCATATTAATTATTACTATCACATTAGTCATTATAGTCAGTCATTAAATACTATGCTATAAATTGATTTGTTGAAATATATACATGGCTTGGCAAGAACTGTATTTTTTACTTTACATAACAATTTCTATACTCGCTAATACTTTTTCTGTTCCCATGTCTATCCATAGAAACACGGTCATGTTGCTATGATAAAATTTTGAATTTGCAAGAATATGACTAATATTAGGTTGAGGATTGTGGAATATCTAATAAGCACTCATACTAAATGGGATTTTACGATAAAATAGCATTCCTCTAATTACTTTTCTTAGGACATGGAGAATAGAATCAACCTGGGTGGACACTTGAATCGTAATTATCAGTAATTGGTTTTGGATACTAATTTAAACTTGTTACCTATGTAGAAACAAGAATAAATAAATATTTACCCTCAAAGATATAATTTATCTAAATTTTGTAATCTAAATGTTGAAAACATTCTTTGGACGTGAAATCTATTATTATGTTTAAATTCCAATGAATTTTGGGGCATTTACATACACCTAATCTGAATTTTCATAAAGTATACAGTTATAGATAACTCTATCTCCTCTTATGACATAAAAAAAACTTGTCATAATATATTTGTCATTTAATGTCCAATTCTTAAAATCAAACAAGATGTTTTCTTGTGTAGGACGTTTCTGGTGCTTCTGCCGGTTGATATATATGCCAATGGCTTATTTATATGGCAAGAAGTTTGTTGGGCCAATTACACCAACCATATTGTCAATAAGAGAGGAAATCTATAAAATACCATATTATGAGATCGATTGGAATAAAGCTCGAGATACTTGTGCTAAGGTTGGGTTTACTAAGTTTTGACTAGATCCAAAGTAACCCTTGCTCATTTAGGAATAAAATATTTTTGATGACTGAGTATCTATTTAGTAAGTATAACAGCAAAGTAGGTGTGTATAGTTCTGTTTGTTTCTAACGTTGCACATCAAGTACTTTGTTTCTTTGAATCGTATCAGGCACTATGCTATTTTTTGTTATGTACAATGATGGAACAATTTTTTTTCTCCAACTAATTTTGAGTTTCAATACATATCAGTCAGAGAAAAATTACTAAAAGATTAAGTACCAGTTGTGCAATTAGAATTACAAACAATTTAAGCATAAAACATCAAGAAAATATAAGAAATTAGCTGAAAGTGTCTATTAAACAGTGTTGGGGACAGCGGATCTTCCTTCTGCAAATCCTGCTGGCTTGCAATCTCTTCTCCTGCTAAACCATTATGGAGCACCCTTGTTGAAGAATTATAGAGAACTACTCAGATAAGATTCCTCCAAATTAGGCCAAAATCACGTGTCTCAACACTTCCAATAAAAAGACCATGACACTGAGTCAAAAAACGCTTTCAAAATGTCTAGCCTTAGAAGAATTTGTGGGAGTTTATGTTGATGTAAAAAGACCTGGACAGCTGAAAGGTTGCCCCATAAGCATTTGCCCCACCCCAACCATTGTACTCCATGTGACCAAGAGCCTGATACCGCGTGCATCATATCCTATCTGGTTGCATCTTCTCCAGGAAGGTGTAACCACTCCTATTCCGTCTCTATGGTTTGCCAGATCTCTCATCTATAAATGATGACAAGGAGTTCTATGGCTAGTGGTTGAGGATTATTGCCTTGGGGCCCAGGGTCAAAAGAGGTCTAGATTCCTTGCTAACCCTGTGGGCATGGATTTTGTGGAAGCACAACGATTGTGTGTTCATTAATTCAATGGGGGTCTAACTAGCATTTAGCTTGTTCTTGGACAGATTTAATTTGGAGGAGGCTCAACTCTGCTGTATTGCAGGCGCTAGAGGATTAGCAGCCTGTTTGAAGGTTGCTTCCAGATAATTCGTTGGTCCATTTAGTGTTTGGTTGGGTCTTTTGTCTATTCTTTTCCAAATATGCGTATGTATTATGTCCCTATCTGAGGTTTTGTGTGGTGGAGTGCATTGCTTTATATTCTTCTTCTTCTTCTTAATTGAATGATCGCAGGTCTCCTGCGCATTCAAAAAACAGAATATGTTACAGTTTTATGTCATAATAATTCAAGATGAGCTTAGCTTTTGCTAACTTGATTTTTATATCAGTATATCAGAAATTAGCTTGTATAGCATTTTCACCACTATGGGTAGTGCACTACAATATATATATATATATATATTAACCTTTTGATTCCATGTTGTTTCTGTTATGAGCAGGAAGACCTTCTCTACCCAAGGTCGTTCGTGCAAAACGTTATTTGGACTTCTGTGACTAGAATTGTGGAACCATTGCTGAATTTTTGGCCAGCTAAGATGTTAAGAGATACAGCACTGAAAAACATCATGAAACATATCCATTATGAAGATGAAAGTACTAGGTACCTTTGTATATGCTCAGTAAACAAGGTAATGCATTCAGGAATGTTAATTTGATTAATTTGAATCCAAGAAAATTGGTTTACTGCCAATTCTTCTGGTTAATGGATGAGGAAATTTTATTGCCCTTTCCCATTTGACTCCAAACTTCTGTTTACTTCAAATCATGTCATTCCAGCCACAATGAACTTCTGTTTATTTGGTGTCAGACCAGAGCTAATTCCAATGTGCCTAAACAAGCTTCTGTTTATTTCAAAAGCTGCGCGCCAGCCATCACAACTTCACTTGAACTAGCTAGTTGAATGATGTCCCACCTAGCATTTTAGTAAATCCAGTGTAATGCATGATCAACTTGTGTAGTGTGTGAACAAGGATCTGGAAGATTGAAATACGTACGATAGGTTTAGGTACCTAAACTCATATTAGTCGATCACCAATTATTCATGATGTCCCACCTTGCATGTGGTTCCAGTGAAGTAAACAACTTACCATGATATTCTTAATCACAATTTGTGATGGGATTACCAGATGAAAGTACTGGTGATGAATGATTAGTTTTGGATTTATTGGAAAATTTTGTATATGATTGAAGTACATTGCAATGATTTGTTTTTATCACGAAAGCCATCCACGAGAACCTGAACCAACTCTGACTCACCAGAACCACATGTAGACTAGAAACCGATTTTATTAACTACTCAGCTAGACAACCAAGACAAAGGAAAGAAACAAATCATTGGTTCCTGCTTAAAGAAGGTCGTTTGCAGCTGTTGGGAGTCTTTTCAGAGATCACGAGAGTGTTAGGCTTTATTTAGTCATTTCAGCAATTATAACTACTTGTAGATGGTTAAAGACTAATAAGACCTATAATTGTTTTGGATGGCCTAAGCAGTTTAGGTCATGAAGTAATTGCAACTACTATACTTTTTTCTATTTGTAGGCACTAAATATGATTTGTTGTTGGGTTGAAAATCCAAATTCGGATGCATTCAAGCAACACCTTCCAAGGATCTATGATTATTTATGGCTTGCTGAAGATGGCATGAAGTTAAAGGTATTATCCTGCCATATCCTATGTATTGGTTGCATTTCGGTTCCTATTCATAGTTAAGAAGAATGGCTTAGACTAATCACCTGTTGAAAACCTTCCATCCTCTTCATCCTTCAACTTTGTCCAATATCCATTAGAAAAACTACTATAACAGTGAATTTAAGAAAATAAAAAAGTATATCTATTGTTTTCTCTATCTAAATGTAACTTTGCTCGCCTTTCGCATATTGTACACAACACACTATTAACTAAGATGGTGACATTGCAATCCTACAATACACCAACACCATAAGAAGTGGTCTGGAGTTCAATTCTATCTTTCTTTATCCATTTTTCTTGTTCTCTGATCTCTTCTTTCTCCTTTAATTTTAAGGCTCTCCCTCCTATACCCTAGTTACCTCTACAATATATTCAATAATAAATTATCTCCATCCTTTATTTCCTACTACCCACTCTATCACTACAGCAGACGCGTGCTTTGCCGAGTGCAATTGCACTCGACAAAAAAGGCTTTGCACTCGGTAAAGCCTTTGCCGAGTGCTGCACTCGGCAAAGAGCTGTCGGCATATCCCTTCACGGCAAAGGCTTCTTTGGCGAGTGCCGCATGTCGGGCACTCAGCAAAGCCTTTACCTAGTGCCGGAAAAGCACTCGGCAAAGATTTACACTTGGCAAAATGAAAATGCGAAAAAACCCAAAAATAATAGCAAAATTTTTCAAAAAAAAATTCGGGGGAGGCCGCCACCGGCCAGCGCCCGCCCGTCTCCATCGAAGTCGCTGCATTTTTTGCGCTAAATTCGCGGCAAACGCGACCGGTGGGATTCGAACTCACGACCTCTCCCTCGCGTGTCTGCTACTCTACCACTACCACTGCACTACACTGTCACTTGTGTCTAGATTTCGTTATCTATCCTCATATATTATACTAAACCGAGAGTAAATTACTTGTTTGAGGCCCTAAACGAATTCAAATCAAAAAGTGGTCAACTACAAAGTTTTATAACTTTTCGAGATCTACAATTTTCATTTAGAAAGTTTTTCCATCCGAGGTCGTTTGAAAAATTCAAATTTCAAATTTTAGAGATTCAAACGTAGTTTTGCATGATAAAATGATTTTAAATCAAAAAGTTGTCAACTACATAGTTTCATAACTTTTGGAGATCTACAATTTTCATTTAGTAAGTTTTTCCATCCGAGGTCTTTTGAAAAATTCAAATTTTCAAATTGAAACGTCGTTTTTGCATGACAAGATGATTTCAAATCAAAATGTTGCCAACTACAAAATTTCATAACTTCTCAAGATCTACAAAGTTTATTTTGGTCATTTGTTCATCCGACATAATGGTAGTAACATTGTTCACAAATCTTATATATCTCTCTTCTACTTTCATGAAACTAATATGAGAGATGTAGATTTTATGAAAAACGTTATTGTCGCTTTGTCAAATGAAGAAATGACCAAAATAAACTTTGTAGATCTTGAGAAGTTATACAACTTTGTAATTGAAAAGTTTTTCATTTGAATTCATTTAGGGCCTCAAAAATTGCTTTGAAAAACTGATTTGCCGAGGACCAAAAAAATGCACACGGCAAAATGCCTCTTTGCCGAGTGCCAAAACAAAGGCACTCAGCAAAATACATCTTTGCCGAGTGCCAAAAAAAGGCACTCTGCAAAGACGCATTTTACCGTGTGCCGAAAAATAACACTCGGCAAAATACATCTTTGCCGAGTGCAAAAAAAAAGACACTCGGCAAAGACGCATTTTGCCATGTGCCGAAAAATAGCACTCGGCAAAATACATCTTTGCCGAATGCCAGAAAAAAGGCACTCGGCAAAGACGCATTTTGTCGAGTGTTTTTTTTTTGTCGAGTGTATTTTATTTGGCACTCGGCAAAGACCGTCTTTGCCGAGTGCCCGATAAAATACACTCGGCAAAGCCTACGGCACTCGGCAAAGTGCCGGTTTCCGGTAGTGATATATGCTGCTACCAAAATAAAATATCAGAGATCTCCATTCTGGAGGACATACAGAGAGGATGCTATAAGTCCAAGTCATCACCATGTCTGCTGCTACCGTCTCCAGCCAGGCTATGCTTCCTTGTTGCACTGGACATCGGCCAGCAAATTGCTCTAATAATTATTCAAAATGATGTGGCAAATTAAATGTTGATACGGCAGTTCAATCAGGTGATTGCGAAATCTAATTCCCCGGTCTATCATAGGTGTATGAAGGCACACAAGCATGGGATACAGCTTTTATTATCAAAGCATATTGCTCGACTGACCTGGTTCATGAGTTTTCTCCAACACTCCGGAAAGCTCATGAGTTCATAAAAAGTTTGCAGGTTTAATTGTATTATTCAATACTCTTATGTACTATAAATTTTTACAATAGTTGCATAGAAAATATTGACATGCATGATTTTAGATCCCTGAAAACCAACCCGACCATGAAAATCATTACCGCCATAGATCAAAAGGTTCATGGGCTCATTCAACATTAGACAATGGATGGTCTGTATCTGATTGTACAGCAGAAGCAATTCAGGTCAGTGCAAGCTATGTATGGTTTATCTAGAGAGTCAAAAATATTCTTCCCTTGTATATATAAGTATAATGAGGGCATTATAACAAGGAGCGTTTACAATGTGCTGATATATCTTTTGCCCAAAAAAATAATGGTAGAGAATCCGTGAGTTGTTACATGGCACTTTCTAAGAACTGTACATATGCATAAAATGTCATGTGTTAATTAATGACAGCTTCTTGGATTTTTCTTCTATATTAACCCCTAATAAGTTAAATTCTATATATAGGCATTGTTGATGTTATCAAAGATCTCTTCCAATCTTGCGGGGGATCCCATAAAGGAAGAAAGATTATATGATGCTGTGGATTGCTTGCTTTCTTTTATGGTATGAATCTATCTGAAATTATTTATCATTTTCTTAATTATTATAGGGAATGATTAGTTTTTCTGTTCCTAGGCTAAAGCCTATCTAGCTGGGAAATAACCCTGTGTTGAGCAATATATATTTAGAGGCCATCGTTTGGTTTGTTTGTACTAGTTAAGCCTATGATTACTAGATCTTGTTCTGTGAGCTGTCTAGCTTGGTTTCAATCACCTCATCTTTGCTAAAATGAAATTTAACTCCATCTATCCCCTCTCTCGAACTTCAAGCTGGACCTGCACATTGTTGTTGCACTACTGCTCGAGCTAGCTACTGCTTTCAAAGCATTACCCGCATCGGCCTGGACTTAGTCACTTCCATGGAGCTGCCTGCACCTTGGCTATGCTGAGAACAACGTGCGCCCTGTGGCACCCTGCGCCTAACCCAGCACCGGCCGCAATCTTGCAAGGGTCCGCCATAAAGGCAAGGAAAGAAGCTCGCCGCCCCCGTGGTAGCTGCTGGGCTCAGCAACTCTAATAGTCTGACTAACATGTCCATTACATTAGAGTTAATTTCACATTTTTCATAACTATTTTTATACAGCAAAGAAAATGAACATCATATTTCAGAATCCAGAGTTTAAGAGCCCAAAGAAAGGGTTTCATCTAAATTGTACATAACTTTGTCACAACAAGGCATGCTATTCTAAAAATACTCCCTCCGTCCTGTAATATAAGGTATACAAGCATTCAAATTTGTCCCAAATTATAAGGGATTCTAGATGTACAAACCCTCCAAAAAGCAACATTCACATGCATACCTACTGTTAATATATCACCAATCCAAATATGGTAATCAGAGAGGGTTACATGCGTCATTTGTTTCACCACATAATGTGTACTAAAATTTCTTGGATGCCTTATATTTGAGGATGGAGGGAGTATGATATTGCAAACCACATTGGCTAAAATTAAAACTGACAGCAGCACTGAGTCCTCTATAAAAACCTTTTCTAATGGGAAAATCCAATTCAGAATGTACCATCACTAAAGCTTTCATGGAGCGGATAATCATTATTGAGACAATTTAGTCTTGTATTTAACATAAGTTGTACTAATCGCCATTTCTTTTTCCATTGAAGAACAAAGATGGCACCTTTTCAACATATGAGTGTAAGAGAACTGCATCTTTGTTGGAGGTGAGTACTTTTTTATGTTGCATTGTTATTTGTGTGTAAAACCGAGTTTGTGAACGAATTCTCTTTTTTTTTTTTGCGAACAATGTGAACAAATTCTCTAACATGGGCAAGAAACCTTTGAAGGAAAAAAAAGGATATTATATAATAGAATGAGTCGGCCCAGTGCACCAAGACAGGTTCAATGGCCATATGCGAGAAAATATTCTTTAATCTTGCATTGCCAACAAAAATAAGTGTTCTCCATGGATGCATGTTTTGTGGGTTTCTTCAGGATTTTGAACTGTTGTTCATGTTTGCTTTGTCATGCATGGCTGATGACACACTCACCTCAATTATGTTCGCAATAGGTTCTCAACCCTTCTGAGACTTTTCTGAACATTGTTGTTGATCACCCGTAAGAAAAAAATACATTCTCATTTGAACACCATTAATCCTATTTTTCAAATGTGTGCGAGCTAATTCTTGTGTTCAACAAATTGACAGATCTGTTGAATGCACGTCATCAGCAATTCAAGCTCTTGTTATGTTCAGAGAGTTGTATCCGGGGTACCGTGATGAAGAGATTAAAAAATGTATTAAAGGAGCATCCAAATTTATCGAGAGCAAACAACGAAAGGATGGAACATGGTATTTAAAATCATCTTGTCTGTTGTATGCTGTTATCCATTCTTTTAATGCACACAGATAATAACTAACTTATTAATTACATAACAGGTTTGGCACTTGGGGTGTATGTTTCACTTATGGGACATTTTTTGCAGTGCAAGGATTAGTTGTTGCTGGAAGAACTTATGAAAATAGTTCTTCCATTAGGAAAGCATGTAGCTTTCTATTGTCAAAGCAGCTAAGTACAGGTGGATGGGGTGAGACTTACCCTTCTAATGAAACTGAGGTAATTCTTAATTTCCTTTACCTAACTATTTGCCTTCTTGGTCATTTCACGTTTGATATTTGTTAGAATGGTATGGTACACACACACACACACACACACACACACACACACACACACACACACACACACACACACATATATATTGGTCTCGGATGAAAGATTTAAACATTATCATGTGGATTGTTCCCAACTAGCAAGTCCATCGATTAGTTCAATCCTTAAAGCATTATAGATCATTGTGTAATGGTTTCCATTTTAATATTTAACAGGTCTATGCAGAGGCCAGCAGTCCTCATGCAGTGAATACTGCTTGGGCAATGTTGGCTTTAATTTACGGTGGACAGGTAGACATCCCACAAATTGCTACATTTGGAGCATGATGAGACTATTAGATGTAAAACTTGTAGTTCATTTGTGTGCATGCAAAATAGGTTGAGCGAGATCCAACACCACTGTATGGTGCTGCAAAAGAACTGATCAATATGCAACAAGAGTCAGGAGAGTTTCCCCAACAAGTAAGTCTTCATCTTTTAGGCCTCACCATTTGGCAGTTTGTAGGGATTATCTTTCACTTAGATTTATCACTAAACCTAGTTGGAGATTCTAACTATGAAAGGCTTTATTTCAACCTCTGTGCAAAACACGCAGGCACGCTCAACTAGCAATTACAGTTGAGTATTACAAACTGAGAAATCCTATAATATAATTCCTATTCTAAATCATTATAAATGGCTCATACAGGTATAAAAAATCGTTTTCTGTACAATCATATGGATATGAGTTGTACCTGAATGCACATATAGCAATCTCAGATTTGTAGAATTCATGGTCTATAGTTTCTGCAATACACGTCAGGCAGGCTAAACCCCTCCTATGTTTGATCACAGGAACACATTGGGAGCTTCAATTGTTCCTTCTACTTCAACTATGGAAACTACCGTAACCTGTTCCCAATTTGGGCTCTTGGAGAGTTTCGGAGACGAATTGTTGCAGAAAAGAAGAGGAACCAACAAGCATGTTTGTTTTAGACAATGCTATTGTACTCTAGTTACCCCATGCATTCGAACCCATTTATACAAATCCATATTTGTAGTTCATCCATTCATACCTGTTAAATGCAAAAAAAAATCAGATATTTAGATGTTTTGTCAATTTTTCGATATGGATATGTATACTGGAATCGAATATCAATACATGGCAACTAATATCTGATGGATATTGTGGGGGTAGGGGCGGCTGTGTCTACCCCCCCTCTATGTAAAAAGGCCTAGTGCCTAGTAGATCTGAGGACCTTTATGTAAATTCATAAACTAAAAGGGGTGGGGAGGAAGATACATCATCCCACCTCCCTATAAATAGAACCCAAATACAAAGGGGAAGGGGTCCTCTCTTTTCCCACTTTATTCTCCTGTGTGGGACTAGCTCCCTAGCTTTCCCTTCACCCCGGTGAACGTCTGGATGAAGGTACGCGCGAAAGACTATATCCCAACAGTGGCGCCGACTGTCGGGACCCCATTGCACCACAAGCAAAAATAAGACACGAAGAAAGACTACCCTCGTCACGCTGCCGTGGCCAAGCAGAGCTACTGTCGGTGTTTCGAGTTGCCACCAACAAGTATATTTGTATTATTGCGCGTCTGGTCCAGATGGTGTGCTAAGAGGACACGAGGTTTATACTGGTTCGGACGGAATGTCTCTACGTCCAATTCGTTGCTGCTGCTCGTGTTAGTAGCAATGAAAGTTCGTAGTAGGGGTTACAAACGGTCGAGAATGGGACTAGTCCCAAGTCTCTGGTGGTGTGTTGCGATGAGCTCTGATTCGAGTCGAGTCGAGTTCGGATTCGGATGTGTTCGATTGTTGGTCCGATGCCCCCTAATGGGACGCCCTGCTTTTCCTTTTATAGGCCAAGAAAAAGCAGGGGTTACAGCAGAGGGAGAAGAGGAGAATCAGAAGGAGAAAGAAGTCCCCCGGGATCGCCGGGTCCTTCTTCTCTTCTATGTGGGTCCCGCCGACTCTGTAGACGTCAACAGGGACAGGTTCTCGTTGCAGCCCTGTCGGTCACTGGCGCCATGTGCAGGCATTGTCTGTCGGTCATGGCGCTCCACTCCGTACTGGTAGTTGTCGTGGTGAACTGACACACCCGTCAGTGTTTGTACGGAGGTTAGACAGAATAGCACTGGTATGCCCGACGTTGTTCCTGACGTGAACCCCCAGGTATGGCTCGTCGTGGGTCGCAGGCTACATCGAGACGTGCCAGTCTCCTCCCTGACGTCAGAGCTTTGACCCAGGCCCATACGCTTGGACCTGGAGTGGTTGGCGGCGGTATGGGTCTCCGTCGGGAAAGACGGAGCCTCCGGCCTCGGGGTCGGGCGAGGCGGAGTTCCTCTCCAGGGGCGGAGCGAGGCGGAGCGCAAACCCAAGGGTCGGACGAGGCGGAGCCCATGGCCTTGGTGTCGGACGAGACGGAGCCCACGCCTAGAGGTCGAACGAGGCAGAGTCTGCCCTCATGGGTCAGTCGAGGCGGAGCGCGGACCCGAGGGTCGGGCGAGGCAGGCCCACGGCCTTGGTGTCGAGCGAGGCAGAGCCCGCGGCCTCGGTGTCGGTAAGAGCTATAGTCGCGCTCTTGGCCGCTCGGATGAATCAACGTTGATGGTTATTAGCTCCTACTCTTCGGATACCCTAGTATTGGTCCCCGACAGATACCCTCATCGTGACCACACTGGGCACCCCTCGTCGTGGCCAGACTGAGCAACCCTCATCGTGGCTAGGCAAAGCAACCTTCGTTGTGGCCTGACTGAGCAACCCTCGTCGTGGCTGGGCGGAGGAGCTACCCTCGTCACAGCTAGGCAGAGCAACCCCCATCACGGCCGAACAAAGCAATCCTCGTCGTGGCCGAACGGAGCTACCGTCGTCGCGGCCGGGCGAAGCAACCTACATCGTGGACAGACAGAGCAACCCTCGTCGCGACCGGACATAGCTACCGTCATCACGGCCCTCGTCACTACCGGACAGAGCCACCCTCGCCCGCGGCTACCTTGGACATGAAGAACTAGCTAAGTACTCCAAACACCTATATTTCTTTATACAGACCGGTTTCTATGGCTCGTGCTCGTAATCATTTCTAGCGAAGGTCTGCCAGGTGCTAGGCACGAACGTCCATCTAGTGCCCGAGCCGGCGTACAAAGGTGCTGTGATCCGCGCGAAGCTGGCTCCTGAGTGTCTGCCGCCTATGGAGACGCACGGGCCTCCACTTTTCTGCCCAGATAAGAAACCCGGCTACTCCTTCAAACTTGTGCAAAAAATAAATAAATGAATAAACAAAGTATACATGTATATACTACCGGAGACCGGCTCTTTGCCGAGTGTCAAGTGGTTTGCCGAGTGTTGTTTTTCGGGCACTCGACAAAGACGCCTTTGCCGAGCGTTTTTTTTACACTCGGCAAAGAATCTCTTTGCCGAGTGTTTTTTTTGACACTCGGCAAAGAAGCTTGTTCGCCGAGTGTTTTTTTTTTGACACTCGGCAAAGAAGCTCTTTGCCGAGTGTTTTTTTTTTGACACTCGGCAAAGAAGCTCTTTGCCGAGTGTTTTTTTTACACTCGGCAAAGAAAATTTCAAAGCACATTTTGAAGCAGTAAATTAATTCAAATGAAAAAGTTTTCAACTACAAAGTTGTATAACTCATCAAAATGTACAATGTTTGTTTTGGTCTTTTCTTCATATGACAAAGTAAAAATAAATTTGTTCACAAATCTAATATATATCTTTCGTAGTTTACAAAACTACAAGAGAGATATATAAGATTTGTGAATAATGTTAAAACGACCATGTCGGATGAACAGATGACCAAACAACCAATATAAACTTTGTAGATCTCGAAAAGTTATGAAAATTTGTAATTGACAATTTTTTGATTTGAAATCATCTTGTCATGCAAAACTGCGTTTGAATTTCAAAATTTTAAAATTCGAACTTTTCAAACTACCTCGGATGGAAAAACAACCAAAATAAACATTGTAGATCTCGAAAAGTTATGAAACATTGTAGTTGGCAACTTTTTGATTTGAAATCATATTGTCATACAAAACTGTGTTTGAATTTCAAAATTTTAAAATTCAAACTTTTCAAACGACCTCGGATGGAAAAACAACCAAAATAAACTTTGTAGATCTCGAAAAGTTATGAAACATTATAGTTGGCAACTTTTTGATTTGAAATCATCTTGTCATGCAAAACTGCATTTGAATTTCAAAATTTTGAAATTCAAATTTGTAAACGACCTCGGATGGAAAAACTTCCTAAACTAAAAGTCTAGATCTCGAAAAGTTATGAAACTTTGTAGTTTACAACTTTTTTATTTAAATTCATTTAGGGACCTCAAACAAGCAATTTATACTCGGTTTAGTATAATATATTGGGAACTAAAACGAAATCCATACACAAGTGAAAGTGTGGTGTAGTGGTAGAGGAGGTTCGTGCGCAGGGGGAGATCGCGGGTTCGAATCCCGCCAACTGCGTATACGCAAATTTTATGTGAAAAATGCCGAAGATGGGTGGGCGCTGGCCGGTGGGGGCCTCCACCGATTAAAAAAATTCATTTTTTTTGGGTAAAAATTCTCATTTTTTCGGTTCCAACTTTGCCGAGTGTCGGGCACTCGGCAAAGTTTTGCGAGTGCCCGACAAAAGACACTCGGCAAAGACGCCTTTGCCGACGCATTTTTTTTCGAGTGGTCTTTGCCGAGTACAGCACTCGGCAAAGCCTTTACCGAGTGCAAATTGGGCTTTGCCGAGTGCTCCTGGCACTCGGCAAAGCCACTGAGTCCGGTAGTGCATATCACACCATGCATTGTCACTTACAGCCTATACTCGTGATTCGCGAGTGGCCATGGTATTTTTGAAATAAACTGAATTCATTTAGAGAGCTCTTACTAATGGTTGCATGAGTGAGCCTAGTCATGCATGTCGTTTGCAGCTCCGCATGACATAAAAATTCCAAACCATATACATGTTTCGTTCCATAGGGTGGTACCCACGAACAAAAACAAAGACTTCTAAACTAATTACGTACAACACTAACCTTTGGTGCACATGCACCACTTTTGGACTGGAGCATGTTACCTGCGGCTCTGCTCTGTGCATGCTCTTATCAAGTATGCTCTTCAGGCTAAACCTTCGTGTTTGTTCAAAGGATCCACCGTCTTTGCAGGATTAAAACCCTCACTTACTTATTGGCGACTGTCATCTTGTGACTAGCACCGTATCCTCAAAAACCAAATACACAACCACCTTCGCTGAAAAACTCACGCTCCTCCAGGCTGAAACACCCCCGTCGACCTCGATAACCATTGGCCTGGGGCAGCCTCCGGCCCGAGCAGCAACGTCGTCCGGTCTCGAACCACCCTCGGCAGTCCGCGCAGCACCAGCTCAGGTCGTCGTTGCACCTTCATCCAAGTGTCCAACAAGACACCGTCAGAATCGACCCTCTCGCGTCGGCCACAACTTCGCAAAGGTTCTGCATCCTCGATAGCTTTCCTTCAATGAGCTCAACCGACGGTGCAGGAGCTCCGCACCTGGCCGGGACTACAGCCCACAGCCAAGCATCGCGAAGGTGCACGCATGAGCGCGCTCGAAGCCCCGCCGCTCAAGCAACGGAACTAGCAGTTAGAGCTAATCCCCACTGATGACTATGGTTCGGAACTGGCCCAGGGAATTGTTACCTCTACGAGGTCAAGCTTAGGCCCAGGGATCTGCCCGTCTTAGTCCTTCGTGTTGCCACGAAGTTGTCAAGCGTCCATGAGAAAGAAAGACCCTCATCTGCCCATGCGTCCTCCACCGCGCGACCGGAGCAAGCCGCCGGCTGTGCGCCATGCATTCTCTGTTTCGCTCCTTCTAGTCTCATCATTAATTCATCATCACGACGTCACATCTAAATATGGCCGTTTTCCTATAGAAAAAAAAACAAGAAATACACTCCAAATACACATATACATACACTCCACCCCGCGAGTTCCAGCTCCCAGTTTCAGTCTCC